TGCCTTCATGTGGTACACAGGTATACATTCAGGCAAACATTTATAAACATAAAATAAAAATAATAAAATCTCAAAGAAAAAAGTGTATTTGGCAATAAACCTAGGTTTTGGTCAAAATTCAAATTAGGGAAAAAAAATCCAAATTTTAAGGAGCAGTTATTCTCAAGAATAGTACAAGTACATTAAAAAAAGAAGAAGAAGAACTTGCTTAGTGGTGGTAGCACAAGAATTTATTCCCAGTACTAGGGAAGCAGAGGCAGGTGGATCTTGAAATTTGAGGCCATCCTGGTTTATCTAGTGAATACCAGGACAACCTGGACTACACAGAGAAACCCTGTCTCGAAAAACAAACAAACAAAAACAAATAAACAAAACAACAAAACCACACTAAGAACTTTCATCCATTGATATCACTGCTGCCTTTTAATTTGGGTCTTTGGTTCCAGAAGCCATGAACTTCTCATTTTTGTTTGTGAGGATTTATCAACACAAGTGTGGGTAACCTCAAACAAAGCATGCTTGAAAGACTTCAAAACCAAGTTCTAAGCTCAAAGAAGATGTATTGCCCAGAGGGACAGACAGTAGGGACAAGGGACAAAGTTACAAGACAGAGGAAGAGGGAGAAGGGGAAGGATATTTGTCCCAGGGGACAAAGGACTGCCTCTTGATAGAGAGGAGACAAACTTGGCCCATAGCCAAATAGCAGTTTATAAAGGTAAAAGGGGAAGCCCAGTGTTAGGATGAGGTGTTTAATTTTAATTGGGCATGTTAATTAGGTGAGCCAAAGGGGACTTTTTAAAAGATTATTAATTATGTATACAGTATTTTGCTTGCATGTGTGCCTGCATACCAAATGAGAACACCAGATCTCAATTGGTTGGTGGTTGTTAGCCACAATGTGGTTGCTGGGAATTGAACTCAAGACCTCTGGAAGAACAGCCAGTGCTCTTAACCTCTGAGTTATCTCTCCAACCTGACCAAAGGGGGCTTTTGATTGCTTCAATACTTTGATAGCTGGACTATGGTAGTCAGCCTCAGAAGGAGAAAGTGGCTAAGTAAGGGGGCTAGACCTTGGGGACTAGCTGCAGGAATGTAATCTAATGATTTTTAGTAAGGCAGAGGGAATGGCGATGTGACAGCTACTCTTGGTCATCAACTAGACTATATCTGGAAGGAACTACAATCCAGAAACAAAAGGCACACCTGTGATCCGGATATTGAGGCTGGAAGACACAGACTTTTGATCCAGATTTTATTCTGGGTCACACCTTCTGCTGGAAGCCTATGTAAGGACAGTGGAAGAAGGAAGGGTTGGCTCTTTCTTCACTTGCTGGCCCTCCCCTTGTCAGCACATCCATTCCTTCACTGGCTTTGGAGCCTGCTTCTTCTGGATTCCAACACATACAGAAGACCAGCTGGACACCCAGCCTCGTGGGTCTGAGCAACTGTTGGATTATTGGACTTACCATTCACAGCCAGCCATTGTTGGACCGCAGCCTGTAAATCATCCCAAGAAAAACATTCCAATAAGTTCTGAAGCTCTAGAGAACCCCGACTAGGACAGGGGGAGAAGGACAAGGCCTGCCAGAGTTGTGTTTGCCATGCTTGCTGTCCTTTCAACAAGACATTGACTGAAGAAACTTTTGTGACTCATATCGTGGAGAAGGAGTTAAGATGTATGTTTTCACTGGGGTTAGAAAACAGGACATATTGGGGAGGGGCAGAAATGGAAACTTTTATAATTTAATAAAATTACTTTCAAAAAAAAAAAAGAAAACAGGACATGACATGGTGATAATATGACATGGTGATAATAGGTAGTAGCTGTTGACTGGAACATATAAATTTGCTTTAGTCTACAATCCCATGGTGTGGGAGAATTGTCTGTATTCTGTCAATCATATTTTAAATAAATGCTGATTGGCCAGGCAAGAAGTATAGGTGGGAAAACCAGACAGGAAGTAGAGGTGGAGCAAAGAGAACAGGAATATTCTGGGAAGCAGGAAGCTCCCTCCGCCACTCCTGCCCAGATCACTGAAGAAGCGACATGTGAGCTGACAGCTGGAAAAGGTACTGAGCCATATGGCTAAAATAGATCAGAATCATGGGTTAATATAAGTCATAATAGTTAATAAGAAGCCTGAGCTAATGGGCCAATCAGTTTATAATCTTATGGAGTCCTGTGAGTGATTTTCCTTGGGGTATGCCGGCTGTTGGGTACCGGGTGGGACAGAAACCCCAACAAGCCGGCCCCTCATGTTACAATCCCATAAATACTTTAAACATTTTAAAAATTCAATTAAATTTGTTACACTGTCTTCCAATGCGTATGTAAAAACCAGTATCTGAGTCTAGATGTGCTGGATCTCACTCAGCATTCAGGAAGCAGAAGCCGGTGGGTCTTTGTGAATTCAAGGCCAGTCTGAACCTTAGCCAGTTTCAGACTAACCAGAGCTATGTTATGTGTCCTGTCTCAAAATCAAGAATATTAAAAATAACAAAACCACACGTGGTAGTATCATCTTCTATAATACTTTAATAGTTTCTGTGTTTGATATAGGTAAGTCCTTATTGATTATAATTAGTGCCTGAACTTTGTACAAAGGGGAAAATTAAGCTTAACATTCTTAGATCAATATGATTGTTCATTTTTGTATGATGTCAATTTCAGCATGACAAACTAGGCTACTGTTTTCCAAAGTCATCTCTTTGTGTGTGTGTGGAATCATTCTTTTTAAAAAATTTTTCAGATTTATTTTATTTTACGTGCATGAGTCTTTTTTATATTAATTATTTATTATGTATACAATATTCTGTCTGTGTGTATACCTGCAGACCAGAAGAGGGCACCAGATCTCATTAGAGATGGTTGTGAGCCACCATGTGGTTGCTAGGAATAGAACTCAGGACCTTTGGAAGAGCAGGCAATGCTCTTAACCTCTGAGCCATCTCTCCAACCCTATGTGTATGAGTCTTTTGCCTGCATGTATGTAGGTACAACAGATGCATCCTGATGCCTAGCCCGGGAGTTCAGAAGGATGGATCACTGAAACTGGAGTTGTCGATGGCTGTGCACCAACACGTATGCAGGTGCTGGGAATTGATCTATTGTCCTTTCTGGAAGAGCAGCCAGTGTTCTTTACCATCAAGTCATCTCTCCAGTTCACTGAAATAATTCTTTAAGCATCTAATGTTTATCAGGCACCATGGCAAGCACAGCAATGCAAAGCTGTATAAGAGACAGTACTAGCCTTACGGCTTCAGTCTAACAGGGAAGACAGTGTAAACAGTAAAACAAAACAAACACAACACACAACACAACACACACACACAAACCTGTGTGATTCAGCACCAGAATTCTTTTCTTCTTCCTTTAAAGACATTTTTTTAGTAACTTAAGGATTACTTTAAAGACATTTAAAAAATTTTATTTATTTTATATGCGTGGGAGTTCTGCTTGCTCATATGCCTGTGCATCACAGGTGCCTACAGTGGTCAGAAGAGGGTTTTGGATTCCCTGGACCTGGAGTTATGGTTGGCTGCAAGTTGCCTTGTGGGTGTGAGAAGTTGAGCTTAGGTCCTCTTCAAGAACAAGTGCTCTTAAGCAGGAGGCCATCTTTTTTCAGATAAAGTCTCACAAATTCCAGACTGGTCTTGACATTTACAATTCTATCTTGTTAATTTATTTTGGGTTCCTGTGCCATGGCACATGAATGGCTGTCAGAGGAAAAATTCCAAGGAGCAAGTTCTTAACTCTCACCAGGTCTGTCCCAGGCATGGAATTCATGTCACTTGGCAGCAGGCGCCTTTACCCACTGAATCGTTTTGCCAGCCTGATACCAATTTTTTGAAAAACCGTCTTGTAGTTCAGGCAAGTTTTGAATTGCTATGTAGCAGTCAATGACCTTGATCTTCCTGCCTAACCTCTCAATGGCAGAATTACGGGCAGAACGACCAAGCTTGGATTATGTTGTGATGGGACTCAACCCTAGCGCTTCTGCATGCTAAGCAAGCACTCTACCACCCGAGTTACATCCCAGGCGAATAACATATTTAATGTAGTACGTTTATTTTATTAAACAACATAACTGCCACTGGTTCTCCTGGGAATTTCATCTTTCCACATTCCTTAGTTAGGCGCCAAACCCAGGACTTCGGGAATACTAAGCAAGTATTCTACTCGTCAGTTACATGCCCTATAAAATATTACTATCTTTGAAAAAACAGTACTGACATCAAAACTCACTGAAGCCAGGTGGTGGTGGCGCACCCCTTTAATCCCAGCACTTGGGAGGCAGAGGCAGGCGGATGCCTATGAGTTCGAGGCCAACCTGGTATACAGAGCGAGTTCCAGGACAGTTAAGAGTTGTTACAGAGAGAAACCCTAAAAAAGCAAACAAAGGCAAAAACAACACAACTAATTGAAAATCTTTCAGTAGAGAAATTATTATCACTATTTTTTATTTTTATTTATTTATTTTTTAACTATTTATTTTTTATGTATACAATGTTCTGTCTGCATGTATGCCTGTCCACCAGAAGAGGACACCAGGTCTCACAGATGGTTGTGAGCCACCATGTGGTTGCCGGGAATTGAACTCAGGACCTTTGGAAGAACAGGCAATGCTCTTAACCGCTGAGCCATCTCTCCAGCCCCTCACTGCAGTTTTTGAGCTTGTACTGAAACTAGCTCTTGTAGACCAGGCTGGCCTCGAACTCAGAGATCCACCTGCCTCTGCCTCCTGAGTGCTGGGATTAAAGGCGTGTGCAGCCACTGCCCAGCCAAAGAACTAAAGCTTTTAATTTACAAATTGTCTGTCAAAATGAAAACAGGTTTCAAAGAGACGGCAACTCTAAGACCTCGCACCTGTGTGAACTGAGCCAATCGGGGACGGGCCTGTTCGAAATCCCGCGGTAAGGAAGACGAATGAGCCAATTCTCGCGAGATTTTGGTGCTTTTTTCCGTCTTCCTATGTCTCGCAGGAACACGATTAATCTCGCGATCTTTGGGAAGTTCCGTTGGGGAAGATGGCGGCGGCCGCGAGCACCCTTCTCTTCTTGCCGCCAGGGACTTCAGATTGAGCCTTCCCCGGAAGAGTGGGGGCCGCTGGTGCGCTGCTTCCCCGGAGCGCAAGCCAACTTGGTTCCCCTCTTAGTGGTGGGGAAAGGCTTCCCCTCCCGTGGCCGACCCAAGACCTCACCGCTGTCAGGATGAAGGCTCAGGGGGAAACCGAGGGTGAGTGACGGATCCGGGGTGCAAGAGGGGGCGGGACACAAGTGTGGAAAACCAATCTGTGAGAGGAGGTGGGGACCCACGCCCCTCCAGGGCCACATTGCACGGAACTGGCTCCGGTGGAATGTATATTTTAGACCGTCTCTGTCTTGGAGAGGACGGAGCGCCAGCTCCGAGGTGCTCTACTCGCCCCCTTTGTGAAAGGTTTTCCGCATCAGGACGAGTGGTTGAGCCTCAGGATCGCTTAGCCTGGTGGGACGCGGGGAGAGTGAAACGGAAACTTGTTTACTCTTTGTTCCGCGAGATGTCTGAATTTATGCTGACAGACAGTAAGACACAACAGTGTGCCAGGGTCATGGAGGGCTTAGCGTGAGTGACAGACACGGTTAGGTCTCTTGTCAGAATTCAAGTCCTGTGTCGTGCATTTCAAAAACTGTTCTTTTAATTGTGTTTGAACAGTGGCTTTAAAGAAAGATTGGAAGGATGTTTTAGGAACAGCCCCCCCCCCCAACCAATTTTCCAGAAGAGGGCAGAAAAAAAAGGGGGAGATTGAATGTTTGTGGTTTTGAGACAAGGTTTTCCTGTGTAGCCTAGGTTAGCCTTCAATTCAGGACAATCTTTCTGCCACATCCTCCCAAGTACAAACCTCCCAACTTACAAACCTGTACCCTGTAGGTCAACAAGAGGTTTTTATTATTTTTGTTTGTTTTGTTTTAAGGTTTGTTTGCATTGTTTTTTGTTTTTGTTTTTTTTAAATTTGGTTTCCTTTTGTTTTTTGACCCAGAGTTTCCCTGTGTAGCTTTGGCTGGCCTAGAACTTAGAGATCCAGCTGCCTTTGCCTCCCGAATCTTGGCTCACATCCTCCCCTCACTACCTTAATGCATATCACCTGGTTTATTTAAACTGAAGCTATGACCCGTGTAGGAAAATGGGGCAGCAAAATAAGCCATACTTAGACAAATGCCCCATTTTCTCTCTTATGAGGAGTCTAGACTTAAGTATATGTTTATGTATGTGTTGGCTTTGAAAATACAGACCCATGTGAGGATACTTTTTTCTTCTTCAAGGCAGTGTTACTCTGTGTAGCCCTGGCTTTGTAGACCAGGCTGGTTTCGAATTAATAGAAACTCACCAGCCTCTGCATCCTGAGTGCCGGTATTAAAGGTGTGTGCTATCACTGTCTGGCCTCATGGGGACATTTCTTTGTGTGTTAACTTAAAAAATGATTTAGGGACTGGCAGTGTAGATCAGTGGTTAGTGCAAGGGTGTTCATCTTCCTGGGTCCAATCCCCAGCACCAAAAGAGAAGGAAAAAAGGGGGAAGTAACAACAATTATGCTCCCAAATTAATGAAGTCAGTGTTTTCATACTGAAAACTAGTTACATTTTTTTCAGATTGTACTTAAAAATTTTTATTCAAGGTATTGCATGTGTATTTATGTAATTAGAAGGGTTTTTTGTTCCAATTAAATAATTAACAGAAGCTGGGTCTGGCATGCCTGTAATTGCACCACTGTGAAGTAGAGGCAAGAGGAGGAGAACTTCAAGACTGTCCTCCCCTGCTCTGCTCGTTCAAGGCAAACGGGGCTGTATGAGACCTCCTTCCGGGATGGAGGTGGAAAGGCTAGACAATCTAGCTGGTTGGTAAAATGCTTCTTATGCAAAAGACGTGAGTTTGAGCCCCGGTGCTATGGAGGATGAGACAGGCAGGTCTTTGGAGCTCTCTCAGTGAGCCTAATTTGTGATTCCCAGGTCCCAGTTAGAGATGCCCCCCCCCCCCCCGCAAGGGTGTCTGCTTATAGTGGCACACATTCATAGGAGGATAATCTAGGCTAAAATTCAAGCCTGGGAGATGGTTCATGTCTATAAACCTAGCAGTTTGGAGGTAGAGGTAGGAACATCAGGAGGTCAAGGGCATCCCTTAAATTTATTTGTTTAGAGGTGGTGCATCTGCCACAGTGTGAGTGTGGCAATCAGAGGACAGCTTGCAAGAGTCAGTTACCTTTATCCATTGTGGATTCTGGGGATTGAGCTCATGCTGTTATATGACAACTGGTGCCTTAACTTCAGCCTTCAAGGTCATCTTCTGCCCCATAGACCTGGAGGTCAGCATGGGCCATGAGACACCATCTCAAAAAGGAATAAAGGGGCTGAGTGATTAAGAGCCCTTACTGCTCTTGGCATTAGGCCCAGAGTTCGGTTCCCAGAACCCACACACCTACATAGCAGCTCACAACCATCTGTAACTCCAGTTCTAGGGATCCTGGTGCCACCTTCTGACCACCTGAGTACTAAACAGATGGAGTGCACATACATGCAGGCAAAAAGATTCACACATAAGTAACTTTTTTTTTAAAGACAGGGTGTCTGTCCTGGGTGTAATGGTATTTCATTTGTATTTTAATAAATAAAACTTTATTGAAGATCAGAGAGTAAAACAGCCTCACTGTCAGCTTTATAGACCAGGGCGGTGATGATGCACACCTTTAATCCCAGTAGCCACACTAGTTTGCCATGGAAATTGGGCGGTAGGTAGTGTTGCACGCCTTTAATCCTAGCCCTAGAGAGAACTATAGAACAGGAGGAGACAGCTCTCACACACAGTTTCATTCTGACATTCCTGGAGGTTTTTCAGACTGAGGTCAAGGTAAGAGCCAGTGGCTGGTTCAGGATGAACCCCAATTTCTGTCTCTAGATTTTTATTAATCGTGCTATACCTGGGTGTCCTGGAACTCACTTTGTAGACCAGACTGGCCTCAAAAATCAAAGAGTCTGCCTCCCGAGTGCTGGGATTAAAGGCGTGCGCCACTATTGCTTGATTGATAACACTTAAAAAAAGAATATTTCATGTGTGTGATGGTTTTGTCTTCATGTATTTCTGGGTACCAAGTATATATCTGGTGTTCTTGGAGGCCAGACAAGGCCATCAGATCCTCTGGTACTGTAGTTAGATATGGTATAAGCTGCTATGTGGGTTCTGAGATTCGAACCCAGATCCTCTGAAAGTTCAGCTAGTGCTTAAAAGGATAGGTAAGGCATTGTGGAACACTGCTTTGATCCTAGTATTCAAGAGCCAGAGGCAGGGAGATCTCTATGTGTTCAAAACCAGAACGTTTAGATCCTGTCTAAAACCAAACAAAACAACAAAATATCTAGGCTGGAAAGATCCCTTGGCCTCATGATAAAAGACAAAGACAGCTTGAAGCACATTGTCCTCTGACCTTCACAGGCACTGTGGTGGGTTTACACCTGTACTTATACACATACACAGACATCCACATACAAATAATAATCAAGTTGGTTTTGTTTTTGTTACTAGTAGTATTTTAAATGTTTGTTTTATGTGTGTGGGTATTTGGCTTGTATGCACGTCTGCACAGCATGTGTGCCTTGGTCCTCAGGAGGCCAGAGGAGAGTGTCAAATCCCCTGGAATTGGAGATAGAGATGTTTGTAAGCTGCTGTATGGATGCTAGGAATCTAACCAGATCCTCGCAGAGAGCAGCTAGTGCTCTTAACTACTTAGCCGTTTTTCTAGCCTCTTGGTTTTTATTGTTTGTATTAAGACAGGGTCTCATATAGACTAGACTGTTCTTGACATCACAAAGATATGACTGCTTCTGCCTTCTGAGCGCTAGGATAAAAAGTGTACATCACCATGCCTGGTATAAAAATTGAAAACTATCTTCTAAGCCATACATAGTATACATACACATGTAATCACAGCTACCCAGGAGCCTAGGGTAGGAGGATTGTTGCGTCTAAGACTTCAAGGACTACGAAATGGAATAGTAAAACCCTGTCTCTTAGGAAAATAAGTTAGAAAATATTGTGTGTATGAGTACTTTTACAACATGATCTTCCTCTGTAGCTCAGGCTAGCCTTGAATTCACAAACCTGCCTCAGTCTTTCCAGTGCTGGCATTGAAGCTGTGGGCAACCATGCCTAGCTTTCTTTGTTTTAGAGTAAATGATATTAAAAATATTTTGGCAGTTCATAAGTGAAATATAGGGATTCTCTGTAAGAGAAATGGTGGGAGGTCTTGATGTCAGAGTGTCTAATGATGTTTTCTATTTTATGTTATAGAGTCGGAAAAGCTGAGTAAGATGAGTTCCCTCTTGGAACGGCTCCATGCAAAATTTAACCAAAATAGACCTTGGAGTGAAACTATTAAGCTTGTGCGTCAAGTCATGGTGAGAATTGTGGCTAAATGGGTTAAGTACTAAGGGAATTACTTAATAAAGCAACCTTTCTCTGTATAATTGTTACTAGTTACCATGCTGTATCCTCACTTACTCATCATAGAACAGCTGAATCCATGGTAGGTATTGATTTCAGAGGCCAGCTTAGGAAGGAAGTGGCTCGAATTCCCATATCTACAGGGGTATTCTAGGACTCCTCATAGATCCTAAAATCCATGAGTTCTTAAGTTCCTTGTTTTAAAACTTTGTCAACTGGACTTCTTGGCATGCCTTTTATCCCTGCACTCAGTTGCAGAGACAGGTTGATCTCTGTTAGTTCAAGGCCAGCCTGATCTACAGAGTGAGTTCTAGGAAAGCCAGGGCTACACAGAGAAACCTCACCTCAAAAAACATTTTTAAAAAAAAAAGCATTATCTTTGCATATTTTAAACATTCTCTTATATACTTTAAGCAAATTTCTACATTACTTGACAATAGTTAAAACAATATAAATAGCATGTACATATTTCTTCTGTGGTGTTCATTGTCAGTGCAGAGCAATATTGTTTTTGGTTCAGAAGCAGAATCTTTTTTTGAGATAGGGTTTCTTTGTGTAGCCCTAACTGTCCTTGAACTCTGCTTTTTAGTCCAGGCTGGCTTCAGTCTTACAGAGATCTTGCTGCCTCTGCCTCCCAAATGCTGGGATTAAAGGTGTGTGCCACCACCGGCCTGGGAAGAAGCAGAATCTTACTTACCTTCTTACCTGTCTGTCTCTGGCCTTGAACTTGCTTTGGTCAGGCACTTACCCAAGCTGGCATTGAACTTGTTGTGTAGCTCAGGCAGACTTTGAAAAGTGTACAGATCCTCCTGCTTCAGCTTTCCGAGTAGCCTGTATTACAGTCCTTTTGAGTCAGGGTCCTGTGTGTGGCTTAGGTTGGCCTTCAGCGTGGTATATGGCTGAGGCTGTCCTGCCTTAGCTTTCCTGGTCTCGAGAATACAGTTGAGTCCCGCCACCTCTATGCTATCTAGTTTTTCTCTGGTCTGTTTGAAATAGGGTCTCATTCATTCATTTTGAGGTTTTTGATTTGTTCTTTGTTTTTCTTAACTCTTGTTTGGTGCCCATTCACTGTCAATGCCAGTATCTTTCCCTATCGTATTATTACTTCCCTCTAAGTTATAAACCAGTGTGGTGATATTTGAACTACTTCAGTGGAAGGTGGAACACTGGAAAAGCGTGGTAACAATGTGCTAAATGTTCACTTTGAATGTTTGTTCACAACGTCACTTTGTGATCATGAAAAAAGCGATTTATTTATATAAATATATAAATATATATATATATATATATCTCCATCCTGGTAATAAGGCTTCTGAAACAATGATTTTATAAGTTTATATAATTTATAAATTTTACAAATGAATGCATGTGCATCCTTATTTAGTTTGCATACAAAGGAAAGTATTTTTTCTTTCTGAGACAGGGTTTCTCTGTGTAACAGCTTTATTTTGGAATTTCCATTGTGCGCCAGCTTGGCCTCCAACTCAAAGGGCTCTGCCTGCATCTGCTTCCTACTTGATAAATTCTCAGAAACAAAATTTCAGTAATGCTGAGAAGTTCATGGCTTCTGGAAGATAAAAATGAACAGTGATATTAATGGGGGAAAGTTCTTAGTGTAGTTTTTTGTTTGTTTGTTTTGTTTTGTTTTAAGACAGGGTTTATTTATAGCCCTGGCCATCCTGGAACAAACTCTGTAGACCAGACTGGCCTCAAACTTGGAGATCCACCTGCCTCTGCCTCCCTAGTTCTGGGATTAAAGGCCTGTGCCACTATCCCCCAGAAATATACGTATTTCTGTTTACTTACTTTATTTTGTGTGTATGAGTATTTCGTCTATGTGTGTATGTGCACCATGTCTGTGCCTGTCGGCCACATAAGGTCAGAAGAGGGCATCTGTTGAATTCCATAGAGTTCGAGTTACAGATGCTTATGAGTGACTTTGAGGTTGACTTGGTTACCTGCAAAGTCAAACTTGGGTCCTCTGTAAAAGCAACACGTACTCTTAGTTGCTGAGCCATCTCTCCAACCCCTCCAGCCTTTTTTTCATACAGGGACTCGCTGTGTTGCCCTCACTGGAACTTGGTATATAGACCAGGCAGGTCTTGAAATCACAATGACTTACTTGCCTCTGTCTCCCTAATGCTGGAATTAAAGGTATATGCCACCATGTTTTTTAGATTCTTTTATTTTTATTTCTGTTTCTGAGTGTTTGCCTATGTGTATGTAAGTACAGCATGTGAATAAAATCCTTTTGGAGGCTTAGAAGAGGGTGTTGGGACTCCTGGTACCAGTTACAGATTTTGAGTCAGGACGTGGGTGCTAGGAACTGAACCCTGGTCCTTTGCAAGTACAGCAAGTGCTTTTAATCAATTGTTGAGCCATCTCTCCAGTCCGCCTGAGAGCCTTTTGTTTAGTTTTGTTTTGATTGTCTCTTAGCTCACTCTGTAGACCAAGCTGGCCTTCAGAGATCCACTTGCCTCTGCCTCCTGAGTGCTGCGATTAAAGGGGTGAGCCACCACTGATAGGTGTTTGTTTTGTTTTTTGAAATAGGGTCTCATTACATAGCCCTGACAGTCTTGGAAATCCCCTATCTGGCCTTAAACTCACAGAGATCCTTTTATGATTAAAGGTATTCGTCACCACAATTTGGTGATGTTGTCACACTTCTGTAGGAGGTAGATCTCAACAGTGACATTTGGATTCTAAACAGTTCTTTTTTCCCCAAAGCTTAGATACTAGATTACCTTTTTTACTAATACATATGAGTTTGGATGTTATTTGTCTGTATGAACTTCTTTTTCTTGGGTAGGTGGACAGGATAGCAGGTTGATGAGTGGTGTACACTTCTAATCTGAGTCTGATGGCCATTTTAGGCTATAGGAGGAGTTCCAGACCATAAAATATTTTGGGTTGATGGGATGATCCATCAGGTAAAGGGGCTTGCTGCCGAGAGTGATGGCCTAAATTTGATACTCACATGGTGGAAGGACAGAACCAACAGAGACAATGTACTCTGACTTCCATGTGTGTCCACAAGACTCTTTGTCTCATACAACAGAAATAAATTGATATTAGAAAATATCCCCTCCTGCATGGCAGTGGTGGCGCACACCTTTAATACCAGCACTCAGGAGGCAGACACAGACAGATCTTTGAGTTTGAGGCCTGATCTACAGAGCTAGTTCCAGAACAACCAAGGCTACATAGAGAAACCCTGTCTCGAAAAACAAACAAAAAAGAAAGAAAAGAAAATACACTCTCCAAAAAAAAAAAAATTCTCAGGAGGTAGAAGCTGGAGGGTCAGAAGTTCAAGGTCATCCATTGCTAGAAAGCAATGCCAGCCTGGGCTAAAAACCTTGTCTCAAAAGAAAAGAAAGAATCTGTGGTCTGTTTTCAGTCAGTAACTTTCCTGCTAGGATAACATGTGTGTAACTGAAGCATTGGTTTGGTTGATGTTTTTGCTTCAATTGTTTTGTGATTTTATACAGGAGAAGAGGGTCGTCATGAGTTCTGGAGGGCATCAGCATTTGGTCAGCTGTTTGGAGACATTGCAAAAGGCTCTCAAAGGTATGTACACACCTTTGAAATTGTTGATCTTACTAAAACTTAACAAAACTTAATAAAACTCACATTAAGGTGGATTTGGGGGGATGGCTGAATTCTAAACTTAAATAGATATAAATTAAGGAAGATAACTTTCCATATTGAATGTTGCCTTTATTTTCATTTATGGAATTTTTAATTTAATTTTTTTTTTTTTTTAAGACAAGGAGCTCTTATAGACCAGGTTGCCCTCGAATTCACAGAGATCCACCTGCTTCTGCCTCCCAAGTACTGGGATTAAAGGCGTGTGCTACCACCCCCCTGGCAAATTTTTAAAAATTTTACTGACTTGTTTACTTTATGGTGTGTGTGTGAGAGACACAGAGGTATTGCATATGTATTCATGCAACAACATATGAAGGTCAGAATTTTTAAAAATCTTTTTTAAAGATTTATTATGTGTAGTGTTTTATCTTCATTGTATGCCTGCAGATCAGAAAAGGGCACCAGATCTCATTTTAGTTGACTGAGCCATCATCATGAAAGCCAGTGTGGTCATCTTCTGAGCCGTCTCTCTCCAGCACCCACAATTTTTTTCGCAAGACAGGTTGCTCTGTGTAACAGCTCTGACTGTCCTGGTACTCATTTTTAGGCCAGGCTGGCCTCAAACTTACAGAGATCCCCCAGTCTCTGCCTCCTGAGTCTTGGAAGTACTGGAAGTCTTGAGTTGGGAATCTTTAATGAGTTGCTTTTTTTCCTTTCTGGTGTAAGGAATGGGACTTGAGCTCAGGTTGTTAGACCTGCAAGATAAATGCTTTTTTCCAGTTCAAAAAATTATCCCAATCTCGAAGCATTTATTGTTTATTTATTTGCTTTTTGCTTTTGAGACAGGGTTTCACTATGTTTCCTTGACTGGCCTGGAACTCTGTAGACTTTGAACTCACAGAGAGCTGCCTGCCTCTGTCTCCCAAGTGCTGGGATTTGTGGTATCTACCACATGCTTACTTTGAAGCATTTATTTATTTTTACTTTGGGCTTTTTGACATAAGATCTTAACTATTACAAGTTGATACCCTTGCTATCTTTGATCTGAAGATCTTCTTACCTCATCCTCCTAAGTACTGGGATTATAGGTATATGCTGTCATACAGGACTATAACTTTATTTTTAACATTAAATAATAATGCTCGGCTAATATGTGCAAAACCATCTGTACTGGGTGCGGGGATAATACTATATCCATGCTCCCTTTTGTTCTATTTTTTAATTTGTTTAGATGTATATGTTGTATGTGTGAATGTTTTGCCTGTATGTATGTGTACCTTTTTTTTTAAATTTTTGAGACAGGGTTTTTCTGTAGCTTTTGGCGCCTGTTCTGGAACTAGCTCTTGTAGACCAGGCTGGCCTCGAACTTAGAGAGATCTGCCTACCTCTGCCTCCCGAGTGCTGGGATCCTCCCCCCCTTTGGCGTATGTGTACTTGTGATTGCAGTGACAGTGGAGGTCAGAAGACGGCATTGGATCCCCAGCAACTAGTGTTCAGATGTTTGGGAAACGCAATGTGGGTGCTGGTAACTGAACCTGGGTCTTCTTTAGGAGCAACAAGTGCTCTTAACTACTGAGTCATCTCTCCCGTCACTCCCCTTCTCATTTTAGATATGGTTGCATATAATCAAGCAGGTTAAAAAGTCTATTTTATTTTATATGCACATTTGCGTGAGGCTGTCAGATCCCCTAGAACTGGAGTTGCAGACAGTTGTGAACTGCCATGTGGGTGCTGGGAATTGATCCTGGGTCCTTTGGAAGAGCAGCCAGTGCTCTTAACGGCTAAGCCATCTCTTCAGCCCCTCAAAAAGTCTTTATGTAGTTAAAGATGACCTTGAACTCCTGATCACCTTTTCTTTTACCTCTGTATTAGTTTCATATCATTTTTCTAAGTTAAAGATACCTTGACTCAGAGTGGGAGAAATGGTTCAGTGGTTAAGAGCACTGGTTACTCTTCCAGAGGTCCTGAGTTCGTTTCTCAGCAACCATATGGTGGCTCACAACCATCTGTAATAAGATCTGGTGCCCTTTTCTGGTCTGCAGGTGTATCTATAGGCAGGACAACTCATACATAACAAATAAAAAGATAACCTTGACTCAAATAAGGAGTAATAATAAAAAAGGAGGGTGCTGGGCAGTGATAGCATTTGCCTTCTACCCCAGGACTCCAAAGGCAGAGCAGGTGAATCTTTACATTCAAGTCCAGCCTGGTCTACAGAGCAAGTTCAAGGACCACAAGGGCAACACAGAGAAACCCTGTCTTAAAAAAAAAAAAATCCAGCATTTCTGTTCTTTTTGTTATTTTTATTAGGTACATAGACCAATCTGACTTGAAACTTATGTATGCAGTACAGGGATGGAATAACAGGTGTGCATTTTCATGCCTGCTGTTCATGGTTTTTTCTTCCTGCCCGTCTCTTTTGGGTTTTCCTATGTAGCCAAGGCTAACCTTGAACTCTTGATCCTCCTACCTCTGTCCCCCAAATGTTAGATAGCTATCATTTTGGTCTCTCAGTTTTTCTCTTTTTTGTTTTGTTTTCATTTGTTTTGTTTTGTTTTGGCTTTTCGAGCCAGGGTTTCTTTATATCTTTGGCTGTAGATAAGGCTGGTCTCCTGAGTCCTGGGATTAACTCCATGTCCTGCCACCATCTGGTTTAAATAGATTTTTTTGTTAATATTTATTTATTTACTTATTATGTATACAGTCTTCTGCCTGCCTGTATTCCTGCAACCCAGAAGATGACACCAGATCTCATTATAGATGATTGTGAGCTACCATATGATTGCTGGGAAATTGACTTGGAACTTCTGGAAGAACAACCAGTGCTCTTAACCTCTGAGCTATCTTTCTAACCCCATAAATAGATCTTAATATTGGTTACTTTCCTTATTTCTGTTTTAAAATACTTAACAAAAGCAATTTAAGGAAGGCAAATTTTTTGCTTGTTCGTTTTTGGCCTTACATTTTAATGGTACTGTCCATCATTGTGGGGAAGTCATGGCAGCCAGAGTGAGGCGACTAGTCACATTGCGCCTGCAGTAAGATGCAATGAAGAGTGCTGGTGTTCAATTCACTTTCCCCTTTGTCCTGTTTGGTTTAGGAGCCCTAACTATAGAATTGTGCCACCCATATTCAGAGTGAGCTTAGCACTTCAATTAAACCTCTAAGTTGCAGCGTTGGCTTAGTGGTCAAGAGCACTAGTTTTTCTTTCACCAAACCAGAGTTGGAGTCCCAGCACCCATATAGCAGCCCACAACCATTTATAACTCCAGTTCCAGGGGATCTGATGCCCTCTTCTGGATTCTGTGGTCATCAGGCACATATAAGATGCATAGACATAGATGCAAGCAGAACACCCACATATATGTATATATATAAAAGAAAAAAAAAAGGAAAACCCTGTCAAAAACACACAGAGTTGCTAGATGGTGGTGGCCCACGCCTTTAATCCCATCACTCAGGAGGCGGAGGCAGTTAGATCTCTGAGTTTGAGGCCAGCCTGGTCTACAGAGTAGGTTCCAGGACAGCCAGGGCTACACATAGAAATTCTGTCTCAAAATAACAATGCATAGCAGTATGTCACTTGGTGCTTCTAAATCCAGCCCAACTAACAGTGAGGATTAAGCATCAGTCTTGTGCTGTTTCACTGTTTACCTTGTCACCATATCTCTATGTCTCCTGATTCCTAAGTCACAGCTAAACTTGGTGCAGATTATAAGCATCTGCATGTCTGAACTATTAAATATGTTTATGTGTTTGCACAGAAGAATATATTAATTTATTTGAAATATTTTTTATAAATTCCTTTTCTCCTCTCCCCCATCTTTTTATAGTAACATCTTTGCCAGCAATGACTGATCGTTTGGAATCAATAGCCAGACAGAATGGGTATGTAATCTAATCTGTGGGCAGAAATGTTCAACGCAGTGCTAATTATAGGTAGCATTTTACGTGTCTTCTATTAACTTTTGTTTTAATTTGTTCCTCCTAGACTGGGCTCTCATCTCAGTGCCAGTGGCACTGAATGTTACATCACGTCAGATATGTTCTATGTGGAAGTGCAGTTAGATCCTGCTGGACAGCTGTGTGATGTCAAAGTGGCTCACCATGGGGAGAATCCTGTGGTATGTATTGACATTTCACTGGAGTCTATGGGCTTTACTTAGGAACATAATTAAAAATTAATTGTTGGGGGTCTGTATAGCTTGGCTTTTGTTTTTGTAAGCTACTATAGAGATGTGATGGTCTACATTGGTAGTTTTAGAATAAATTTTAGAGTTTCATAAGCACTTTTGGCAAAACAATCATGTCTTCTCTTCAAAATCTAAAGTCCTCTGCTATATACAGGGCTTTAATGGGTGGAAGCACCATAGGACCCTTTTCATTTCATACTAACAAACTAGAGCTTGGGTTGAATAAACAAATGCGTGAGGTACAGAAATAGTCTTTGAATTCTTATTAAAAGATTAGAATCATGACAGATAATATGAAAAATCCTGCAATAAAAATGGATATAAAATGTGTATAATTAAGCAGTTTTAGATTCCAGGGATGATGTTGGAGACTTTAATGTTTTAAACAAACTACTTAAAAAGATGACTCCTTTATAACTGATTTCATATATTTGATTTTTAATATCGCACCCCAAATTCATGGTGCATGTCTAGAAAGAAAAGGCTTTTTTGAAGGGCAAGATGCCTCCATGAGTGAAGTGTTGCTGCATCAGCATGGGGACCGTTAGCACCAGAATAGAGGGTGCACTTATAGTGCTAGCGTCTCTGGGACTGGATGCCGTCTCACCTGCTGACCTCATGGAAACATCAAGTTCCAGCACTGCTGAGATGGCTCAGAGGATAAGAGCACTGCCTGCTTCCAGAGGTCCTGAGTTCAATTCCCAGCAACCACATGATGGCTCATAACCATTTGTAATGAGATCTGGTGCCCTCTTCTGTCCCACAGAGATACTTGCAGGCAGAATATTGTATATATATAATAAATAAATAAATCTTAAAAAAAAATTGAGTTCCAGGGTAAGCTCCATGTTCAGCAAGAGGCCTTGTCTCACACATGCAGACGGAGCTTTTGATATCATTTTTTGATATCTTGATTTAAGGGCTTTCTGTAGTTTATTTTTGTTTTAAAGCATGTATAATTAATATAAAACTTTTATTTTCAATTCTATTAATTTAGTTTAATGCTTTAACATAATTTCTTTGATTGCAGAGCTGTCCAGAGCTTGTCCAGCAGTTAAGGTAAGCATATAGTACTGGTATACTACTTTGCACTGACAGGTAGTCCTGCTCTTTCTTTGGAGGGAGATGGATGTGGTCTTGCTCTAGAGTCCAGTCTGACCTGGAACTCTGTGTCATCATTCCTCAATTTTCTAAATAGCTAGGCATAAAGGTGTATCTCCTTGCTGTTCTCTATAGCTTGGACTTTTGGATTTATTTTCTTGATTAGCATTTCTCAGTATGTTTCTGCTTGTGTTTAGAATTGAGTTCACATGAGTTTGTTTGTTTGAGATTTGGTCTCATGTAGCCTAGGCTGATTTCAGAACTCACTATATAGCCAAGGATGATCTTCATCTCCTGATAATTCCGCTGCTTCTACCTCTTGTTTTATTTTTTCAAGGCAGGGTTTCTCTGTGTGGCCTGGAACTCACAGAGATCCACCTGCCTCCGCCTCCCAAGTGCTAGGATTAAAGGCGTGTCACCATTGCCTGACCCTGCCTCTACCTCTTATATGTTGGGATTAGAGGTGTCATAATCTTAGCTCTTCTTAAGATAGGGTGTAGTTGAGACTGGCCTTAAATTTAATATATAGTCCAGCCTGCCCTTGAACGTTTAATATTTTTTTAAATTTATTATTATTGCTATTAGTTTTTTGTTGTTGTTGTTGTTGTTTTGAGACAGGGGTTTCACTGTGTCCCCTTGGCTGTCATTGTATAGCCTTGGCTGTCAAGGAACTCACTCTGTTCCTCAAACTCAAAGGGATCTGCCTGTTTCTGCCTCCTGAGTGCTGGAATTAATGGTGTGCACAATACAACATCTAATTGGTCTTCCTTCCTTCCTTCCTTCCTTCCTTCCTTCCTTCCTTCCTTCCTTCCTTCCTTCCTTCCGTGCTAGGTGTTGAATCCAAGGTCTTGAGCATATTAGGCAAACCCTTTACCACTGAATTACCTTCCCACTTCAGCCTTTGAACTGCTGGTTCTCCTGAACTCTCCTGTCTTGATTTCTATGTGCACACTTTATCACACCTTGCTTTGAGTCAAGATGATTTTTACACTTATGTTCAGAAATTAACAACTTCAGTATTACAGATAATTTTCTGTTTTCTTTCTTTCTTTCTTTCTTTCTCTCTCTCTTTCTCCTTTCTTTCTTTCTTTCTCTCTTTCTTTTCTTTCTTTCTTTCTTTCTTTCTTTCTTTCTTTCTTTCTTTCTTTCTTTCTTTCTTTCTT